CGGATTCGCTAGGCCTTCCTGACTTCCCCCCGAAAGGGTTTTGGGGGGCTAGTGCGCCCCAACTCAGGGCCCCAAACGAGGGGCTCCAGGGCCGCAGGCAGGTAAACGGGAAAGGAATCCTAAGGCCAGGCCTCCAAGACCAACCTCCCGGTCCCCCCGAGCCGGGCGGGGGCCGGGAAGGTCCACACTGGCCTAGTTGGGCCTCTCCCCCGCTGAGGGGAAGGGAAGGGCGCTGCAAAACCCCCCGGCGCGAGCTTGGGAAGAAATGAAAGGGGCTCCCCAAACCCGCAGGGGAGACGGACACACACACACCCCCCACGCCCCCGACCCGGTCCGCGCTCTCCGGCTCCAGCCCCACCCCCATCGCCCCTGCCCCCCACCCCCATCCCCCTTCCCCCACTCGTCCTCCCTCACAGACCTGTTTTCTTCTTCGGCGTTTCCTGGTGCTGCTGGAGGGCGTGTTTCTGCTCATGTTTCAGCGGCTTCGGCTGGGCCTTGGGGCTGCCCTCTGTGCCATGCTGCAGGTATTGGTGAGGCTGCTGGTGATGGTGGTGGTGATGGTGGTTGTGGCTGTGGTTGTAGAAATAATAATGGTGGTGGTGGTGCGGCGGCTGCTGCTGCTGCTGCTGGGGGTGATGGTGCGGGTGGTGGTGGCTGTGATGGTGCTGAGGCTGTGGCTGGCCGGGCTTCTCCTCCATTGAAAGCGGCTGGGACTCCCTGGCTGAGGCTGCGGGCGGCTGCACCGTCAGGATCTGAGACCGCTTCCCCGGGCTCGCTCCGTATATCTGAGCGCGTCGCGCCAGCGCACTGGTGAACCCAGCGATTTCGCGAGATTGGCAGCCGCACTCGAGCAATCAGGGGCCACGCTGCGGCGCAGGCCCCGCCCCCCGCCGAATCCTCTTCCCTTCCTCTTGGGCCCGGCCTCCCGGCCAGCGCCGCTTACCCGGTGCAACCTCGCAGGGCCGGGCCTTCAACGTCAGCACTATGGCTCTCTCTTCGGTCGCTTTCTCTCCGCCGCCGCGCTGTCTGCAAGCAGCACTTTCTACACGCCTCGCCGGCGAGCCAGCTCGCGTCCAGTGGAGCAGATTCCACGGGCGAGTCCACTGACTCGGAGAGCCATCTGTTGGGGTTGCATCTCCTCGAATCTGTTGGCTTTTTTTTTTTTTTTTTAATCCTTTTCCGGGTAACCAGAGGGGAAGCTCAGTTTCCTTAACCCTGAGACCACTAAAGGGACAATACAAAAAAGAGGAAATAAGTACATTTTTAAGATTACAAGAGCTTCACAATCGGCAGAGCGTTTTGTATTCTGGATTAATTTTGCTTTATGTTCATATGCTAATCTCTTCCTTTCCACGAAGGGATTATAAGGTTCCACAATGGGGTATTTGTGTAATTTTCTAAAAGGGCACAAAGGGTTTAAATCACTGTGTCTTTGTAGTTGGAGGCAATAGAGAGCGGGAGGGATAAAGATCTAAAATCTACACAGAATTAGTGGTGGTGTGTGTTTTTTAACTCTGCAGGTGAGGTCAACTGTGGGACCAAGATAGGTTTTAGAATATAAAGAGTTTCAAGAGTGAAAGAAGGAAAAGAGTACTTTAAAAGTTATTAAGTTTTGAAAATAAATTTTTCATTTATGGAAAATATTGGAATTTAAAGACTCCATTGCATTTTGTAGTGTCGATTTAACTTACCCAGCATTATCACATCACAGCCTAATTTTTAAAAGCAAATGTTAGCGTCAGGAGGGTGGAGAGGGATACCCTGTGATAGTATTTTATTTTTTGACCTAAGTGGTGATTATACAGGGATTGGCAAAAGTAGGTTTACAGTTGTGAATATGGTGGAACAAAGTTTATTCTTGTATTATTTATTTGTTCTTGTATTTATTATTAACCTCGTTTTACTACTCCTGTATATACTTCTTAAACTGAATATGTATGTGTGTATATTATACTTCAAAGTATATGTTATATTGAGGTATTTAATTTACCATTGTAACCATTTTTAGTTCAATAGCAGAAAGTACATTCACATTGTTGTGCAACTATCACCACTGTCCATCCCCAGAAGTATCTCATCATTCACATTGAAACTCTGTGCCCATTAAACAATAACTCCCTTTCCCTCCTACCTCCAGTACCCTGGTATCTTCTATTCTTTTTTCTGTCTCTGTGATACCTCATACATGCAGAATCATGCAATATTTGTCCTTTTGTGTCTGACTTATTTCACTTAGCATAATGTCTTCAAGGTTCATCCATGTTGTATCAGAATTTCCTTCCTTTGCAAGGCTGAATAATATTCCATTGCATGTATATGCTACATTTTGTGTATACATTCATTCAGAATGGACACATGAATTGTTTCCTCAATGTGTACTTTATAATTTTTTTAATGTGGCTTGAATTCTTACAGCAGGACATCATTAAAGGAACAAAGATGCTTAAAGGAAGAGTTTGTGGACTAAAATCAATGAAGGTCAACACACTAGTATAATTAAAAGGTAAAAGCCTATTTCCAAAAGCAAATGTCACCGAATCCAGACAACCATGACCAGACTGTGACCTGTTCAATATGTTGAGGATTCACATTGCTTTGCTAATTTTTAAAGAAAGACCCCTTTGTAGTAGGAGTATGTTTACCCAGTTTTGAGAGCTAAAGCCCCAATAAAGTCCCAATATATTGTCACAAATAAGTCTTTGCCATTTAATAGTATGCCACCACTTTCCATCTACTAAAGAAATAAGAGTGTATATAGCATTGATAATGCTTTATATTCTTTTGCTGATTTATACATTTAGTTGGAAGGCAAGAATTCCTGAGTTCTAATTTCTCTTTCTACATTTTCTATATTATAATTTCAGGCAAACCAAGAGCACTCATTCTGAGTTTCTGACTTATCACACCTTAGCTTGCCTTAGGTTCTTCACATGCAGTTGTATAAAGTTTAGGAAACTGAGCCTTGTTCTCAAATGCTCTAGTTAGTAGTAAAGGAGTAGTATGGAGAAAAGCTTTTGATATAATGTAAGAAAAAATGGTATTAAATTCTATGTACACTAGGATCATAAGCTTGTAAAAATAAGAATTTTTAATAAATATGAAAATACAACAGTAGAATGTGTACTGTTTCATCTGATTTTTCTAAAATAGTTTTATATAAAACATTTTTGAGATTTGCCATGTATTTAAAAATAATAATGCCATAATATCAAACCTCTGTGAGAAGAGAATAATTGGGTCTACTTACTTTAAGCATATTTTGATAAAATTAAATCTGCATAAAGGAAAAAATGCAACATGGAAATATAGCATGAGTCTGGTGAAATTATGGGTGCTTTTTTCTTCTCTCTATTTGCCAAATGTTCTGTTCTAGGTAGGTATTACCTTTCAGAATAACATTTTTTAAAATATATTTTATTGATTTTTTTACAGAGAGAAAGGGAGAGGAATAGAGAGTTAGAAACATCGATGAAAGAGAAACATCAATCAGCTGCCTCCTGCACACTCCCTACTGGGGATGTGCCCGCAACCCAGGATGTGCCCTTGACTGGAATTGAACCTGGGACCCTTGAGTCCGCAGGTCGACACTCTATCCACTGAGCCAAACCAGCTAGGGCCAGAATAGCATTATTTTTTAAAAATTAAAGTTATAAAATTGAATCTGCACAACGCTTTGAAAATCATTTTATACCTACAGTCAATGTGGGAAGTTATAATGGGGAGTTAGGAGGTTCCCATATATGGTAGGTTAATGTTTTAACTATTGCTGTAACCATAATAGTGAATACTTATTGAGCATTTATTTACTATTTGTCCAGAATGACAGCAAGTATTTTATCTTTGTCTTCATTTATAATTCTTTGAGATGGATATTAAGCCCATTCGACAGATGAATAATTTGAGGCCTGAAGAAGTTAGGTGGCTTATAATTTAAAAGCCACCAAGTTTATATGGGGCCTGAAAAAGATTCCAGGTCAGTTGGATAGAAAGAATTTCTAACACTATTGAAGTGTGATGTACTTTTCTAAAATTTTAGTAAACCTCTAAAAAACATTCAAGCTATATCATAACCACTATGAAGATAGTATCTGGTTATTAACAGAGGCAGATGTACTGTGAAGCTATTGAAGATTCAGGGCTCCTAAATGCACAGGACCCTCCAAGAACCTGAAGGGGCTCTAGAAATGGTCTTTTGAAAGACCTAGATATTTTTTCATTATTGTGTAAAAAATTTTTCCATTTTTTAAAAAAAATCTTTATTGTTGAAAGTATTACATATGTCTCCCTTTTCCCTCCATTGACCTCTTCTAGCTTGTCCCCCACTCCAGGCCTTCACCACCCTATTGTCTATGCCCATGGGTTATGCATATATGTTCTTTGGTTGGTCTCTTGCTACCCATCCACCCTCCCCCACCTTCCCTCTGAGGTTGGACAGTTTGTTTCATGCTTCCATGTCTCTGGATCTATTTTGTTCATTAGATTCCACATGTGAGTGAGATTATGTGTTACTTAATCTTTCCCTGACTGGCTTATTTTGCTTAGCATAATACTCTCTAGGTCCATCCATGCTGTTGCAAATGTAAGAGTTCTTTTTAAAAAAAAAAAATAACTGCGTAGTATTCCGTTGTGTAAATACACCACAGTTGTTTTATCCACTCATCTGCTGATGGGCACTTGTGCAGTTTCCAAATCTTAGCTATTGTAAATTGTGCTGCTATGAACACAGGGGTGCATATATTCTTTCTGATTGGTATTTCCAATTTCTTAGGATATATTCCTAAAATTTTTTCAAGTAACATTTTTGTAATTGTTTAAGAGTCCCCTGTTAACAGTCATTTGTGATCTGACTGTTAACAGTCATTTGTGATCTGACTCAGAGGTGTTATAACTTCAATAGGTACTTTAAAAGATTATAGTCATATTTTAACTCATGTGCCAAAAGCAAAGTAAATTATATGTATATATTATGATTGCTTATAAAATATGACTTCAAGGACTATGAGGCAACTTGAAGCCTAAAAGCAATAAAATATTTTTATTCATTTTTTCATTCACAAATATTTATTAGGCATTTTTTATGTACCACATATTATGCTTTTGGTTATTTGAATTTTTTAAAACTCCATTTCTCTCATTGGTACAGTTTTGGAACTTAGTTAAATATATTTGTCTTCATTATCAAATGAAAAACGCTTTTCACACACCTTTAATCTTACATTTGTGTCCTATGACATGTTAGAAGATACAGAAATATTTAACTATTTGGACTCAGTTTTCTCTTCTCTAACATATGGGGAGTGGGCAAAATGACCTCCAAATCTCTTCCTACTCTAACATTCCATGATCATATCTCTGCTCTTCATTCCCAGACTACTCCTTTATTTCATTACAATAAAACTACACAATAGCAAGAAATTTAGCTGTGAAAAATCTAGTTTTTCAACTGCAATGATTAACTATAACTTTATAGAAATTATCATCAGAAACAGTATTATGTAGCTTTCTATAAATAGAAATCAGCTTTCTGGTGACAATTCCGGTTTCAAAATGAGGCAAATCACTGGTAACATCCACTGTTTCATTTCAGCAGGAAAAGAATTTTATCCATGTATATTTCCTTCAGATGTTAATATTTTTGCCTAGAGACACTAACTTCAAAAAAACGTTCAAAAGAATTGAATAGAGGTATGGGTAAATTAGGTTAGTCTTCTAATAACTGGAGTATGATGACTTTTCTAAATATAAAAGTTTTCAAAAGTGACAATTTGCTTTTAAGAAAAGTATTATGGGGGGGAAAT